GCTTTGTATGTTTCCTCTCTGCTAACACAACTGGAACACTTCCCTCTAAAGTAGGAGGGGGTCTTTTTGCTTCTTTATATCTTGATCTTTCTTCTTATAGAAAGTCTCTAGTTCCTTGTCCTTCACATAGATCTTCAGGTGTCTGACACAACACAGCGTGGTGTACAGTTCTTCTCAGATCTTAATCTAAACCCAGCATTTGTCAGATCCTATTGGCTTTAGGAATTGTCCCAAACCTTTTGGGAGTATGCTTTAATTTATCTTAATCGTAAAATGCTATTAACAAATGTATTTTTATAATTATACAACGATTTTTTTTTTTAGGCTGTAGTCTAAAAACATTGCACTGGATTTATTTTCTTCTGTATTAACACTAGATTCAGTGAGCATAAAATTTAAAGGTGCTCCATATTTTTAAAGTAAAATTATAAAGCTGCAAATAAGATTCCTTTAGGCTTAGCAGCAATGATTCCATGAATTGCCCAGTAAAATCACTTTGGCCAAAAGACAGATAAATGCAAAAATTCCTTTTTCTAAATGTTTGCAAGTTGGATCTTCTAGTGCATGGCTTCCTGCAGTCTGATGTTCCCTCCCTCATAAGTACTTATGCAGAGATTTTGATTAAAAACTCTCATCTTTTGAAATGTCCTGCAGTATGCTGTGATGCACAGAGGATGATACACAAAGTCTAGCAGCTGCATTTTGAAAAAGCAAATTAATTCTAAAAATCTGTTCAAACTGCTGCATGTGGAAGAAGCTGCTTCGTTAAAGCACAAAGAGGCTCAGTTGGACAAAAAAAAAAAAAGGACCTAAGTAGTACAATCATTACTGCTGTAGCTGTGTTATTAACATCTCACTACCATGCAGTTATAACACGTCATAGGAAGCAGGGCTTTTCAAGGACCTGCCTGGATTGCTGTAAGTTGCCCTCTTCCAAAGGCTGGGGGGAACACAGGCATGCTGCTGGAGTAGTTCTCCTTAAACTGATCAACTGCATAAATGAAGATGACTTCAATCAGAAATGAGTTGGCCACAGCCATCCGATGGGAGCACCAAGCGGATTTTAGAAGCTGTAAAACCTTGCACGTAAGTCTTGCAAGCTTCCTAGCATTGCATAGAAACAAGCATGTATTTCTGTGATTTGTTGCTCAGAAATATGATTAAGAATGGCTAATTATAAAAAGACTGCTGACTAGCTGCAAATTTAGGCTCAAGACAGGAATTAGAATCATACTGCTCTGTGGTGGAGGAAGACAGAGATGTCTAAGCATCACTGAAGCAAAACTTCTTGAACAGGCATTAGAGTTGTCCAAATTATAAAAAAAACATACAGTGCACCTCCCTGATCCTTTCCACTCAGTTTTCCATGGATTTTGTTTCTCACCTACCTGCCACAAGGACGAACCCCAGGGAGATGGCCAAAACCACCCACGGCAAAGAGCTCTTCATCTTGCCTTCGCTTCTTTTGAAGAATGTGAGTGGAGAGCATGTGTCTGCCTATAAGGGTGTGTGCAAATGATACAGCTATTTGTTTCCTAAAATAAACAGCCCAGCTGGCTAGCTTTGACACTGGAAAATGTGGCTAGGGGACTGAAACCAGCCATGTTTCATACAGAGAGACCTCTGTCTTTCAAAGGTGAATGGGGGTAGGGGCTGGCACTACCACTGTGCACTTTTATTCTGTTAATCACCAACATGCAGCATTTTTGAGAACCAAGGAGTGAAAAAACACCCTGGTCTTTAGGGGCCAATTTACTACCACAATTTACAGGTGCTCTCCTACCTGAGATTGATTGTGAGTTAAAGAAATGTCCAGATAGCCAAGGAATGGGAGTTCTTGCTCTCTGGTTTTGAGAAATCAGGCTTCGGTCATTGCAGGGATAGTTTGACATGCTAGGCTTCAGGATCAGAATCCTTTTTCCACCAGATGCTGTGCAACTTATTTTAAGAGCCTGACCTGCACCCAAGGCTTTCAGTCAAATCAGACAAGATGAGAGGTGGGAGGGGTAAAAGAAGCAATAGCACGGCAGGGGCAAGCTGGGCTCTTCTTCCAAGCTCTGCCTACTGCTTCTAGGACTCTCTTTCTTAGTGAATGGAGAAGGGGCTCTATGGAATGTGTGATACACAGAAGGCTCTGCATAAGGTCCCAGGCAACTGACCCCCAGTGAAAGGGGCCATTTTCAACTCCCTTTTACAAGGGATTTCAGACACTTACAATGGAATAAAAACTCCTTGCTTGTAATTTTATTTAAGGCAGAAGGGTGACAGAGCAAGATGTGAAGCTAACAGGGCCATTCTTTGCTGGGTTTTATAGCATTGGTGTTTTGCAAATTTCTGCTAGAGCTGCAAGGCTAGTTTATTCATGATTAATAGCAGCACACAGCAAATCCTGTGCTCTTCCAGCTTCTTAGGGAGCAGCTATGATGATATGCAGGCTTTTCACACTGCTTATGCCAGTCTTGGCTCCCCAAGGCTCTGAAGAAGCTCATATCATTGGTAACATTGCTTCAGACCTTACTAGCCAGCTTCCTAAGCACAGACCTGTTCATAAAGCCTGGCAGCTGCATTCTGAACTTTTTCTTCTGGCACAAGCATCTAGTAAGGTGGCTGCATGATGCAAAGAGCTTTTGTGTTACATCAGCAGCACTGAAACTCAAGGCTTCCCTGGGGAGGGAGTGGGTGTCTGTGTGCAAGGAGGGCACTGTCTATGCTGTAATTGGTACATATCTCCTCTTTTAGCCAGGCTCCATCTGTATGGCAAGAAAACTTTGTTTTTCTTTCATCTCCTGCACCCCAGAAAGTAACTCAAATGGAGCACTGTGGAGTTTCTTTATGAAGCAGGAAGACGTCCATCTTGTGCAGAAAGTTACAAATAAACCTGGCTAACCATAGTGAGGAGAGGTAGGGAGGGCAATGTCTATCTAAAGCACTGTTTTGGTCACTTTTTTTTTTCTTTCTTTTTTTTTCTTTTTCTTTTTTTTTCTTTTTCTTTTTTTCCTTTTCTTTTTTTTCTTTTTCTTTTTCTTTTTTTTCTTTTTCTTTTTTTCTTTTTCCTTTTTTTCTTTTTCTTTTTCTTTTTTTTCTTTTTCTTTTTTTTTCTTTTTTTTTCTTTTTTTTTTTCCTTTTTCTTTTTTTTTTTTTTCCTTTTTCTTTTTTTTTTCTTTTTCTTTTTTTTTCTTTTTCTTTTTTAATCAAAGGAGAGATTTTTTGAACAAGAAAGGAAAATGGTGCCAGTAGAAAAAGCACATTCAAAAGATGCCTTTTCTGGCCTATTTGCATTGATAAAAATATGGCAGATAAAATTCAAGCAGATGCATCCACAAGTATTTTAACACTTGAATGGAGAGACTGTGCAGATATCCTGCATAATTCTGATTATTTCAGTGTTTTTCTCTGACTGTGGGTGTTGAGTGTATCTGAATTTCAGTTGCTAAATCTGCACGTCTACATGCACAGTCTCATTGGTCTTTATTTGGTGGTTTGAGAACTGTTTTTAGTCACACTCAGCCACCTGCATTTCTCTGAAGATTTGTGTCTAGATTGTAAATTCCTTAGAACAGTACTTATTTCATGGACTGTTACTTTTATGGATTATCTCCGTTTTACTGTGCAACACATTAAATAACCCAAAAATGATCTGGGCAAGCAGACATTAAAGAAATGTGGTAGCTGGGGAAAGGCCAGCAATCTGGGCTTGAATCCTGGACTGAGTGGGGAGCTAGACTCCCAGGCTTGTTGCAGGGCAGAGACTACTGAAGAAATAATAGAATTTCAGCTAAGAACCAGCCTCATAGTGTCAGGCTCCCTGTACCCCCAGCTGGCCCAGGATGTGCTAAACTAGGATTTCCCAGTTTAGAAGCTAGGTGGGTACCAGGGTGTGTGACTGTGTGTCCTTGCGACTTTAGAGGTTGTCTCCAGTTTCACCAGAAGCGGATAATGGTTTCAGCAAGTCCTAGAGGAGATTTAAAAGTCTCTAGGTGATATTTCATTTGTGCTCATTAAAAAACAGCAACAACAAAAACCCACAAACAAAAAACACCTTGAATTGAGAGACCATGTGTCAAATCCATGTAAGTCAGTGAGAATCTAAATGGAAGCTGGTCTGCTGTCAAAGCTTGGAAATTTGGAAGTGCTGAGTAACAAACTGGGGGTGTTACATTGCAATTGCATGGAAACATTCAGGGTCTGGGACCCAGTGAAGGCCTGGATTTCTGGAAGTTGCATTTGCAAAAGTTACCTAGAACTTTTACCATGCAGGAGTTGGGTGGAATTCACCAAAGTTGTGGAATGAAGCAGGGAGATTACAAAAGCCTGATGGGCAGAGATGGCTGTATTTTAGAGGCCAGCTAACACAAAGTGAAAAATTCTACCTAGGTTTGCCTAACAAGTTTAATGTTATGTTTCACTGACCAGAATCAAGTTATTCTTATTGTCTCTTACACAGCCCTGTTAACCAGAGGAGGTGGTACCTGACAAGTGGCTCTGACAGATTTGAAAAATGTGTATTTATCTGAGGCAAACCATATCTTTGGTTTGTAAGAAAATATGGAATATGTTGACTCACATGAGACTATGTTAAAGCTGGAAGAAGAGACTGAGACTGCTCTGCAGTCAGATCTGCCAGAATCCAAAGGAAGCACTGAAAAGTGAGTGAAGTGCACCCCCTTCTAGTTTCAGTTAACTTTAATGCTTGCCTGACATGACTTTTTCCACGAGAATGTGGATGTGGGTATGTATAAATAATCCAGCACCTGTTCTGTGGCTAGAGAAAAGCACCTGTGCTTGTTTTGCACAGCACTTCTCTTCCTAGGATTGTGTAGCTGCCAAATTTATCAGACTCAGGGGTTTCTCAGACCATACTAAACTCTTTACTGTGCCTCCCTCTGCTCTTACAGCATGGCTGTCTGCATTTTTTTCAGTCCACTTGCATGTGGCTCAGCATTCAAGTGATTTCCCAGTGTCAAGATGGGAAGTTAGGCTAGGTGCTGTGTACCTGAGAACATAAACAAGCAGCCATACGGGATGTGAATGTAAACATCAGAGAATATAGGCAGCCTTAAAGACCTTCCTGATGAGGACTGGACGTGTCTGTCTATAAAAGGGTTAAAAGGGTTGATCCAAGGAGCACAGGGGAAGCAACAGCCTCAAGCAGTGGACCCCGATCCCCAGCAATGGCTCCTGCCAGAAGATGCCCCTGCTCCAGGAGGGCAGCAGTGAAGAGAAGGAAACGGAGAGTCAATACACGTCCCCCAGATGGGTCCAGGAAGGTTTTTTCACTTCTTTCTGAAACTTTGACCTGGCTACAGAGAACCGAGTAACCAGAAGTTTCAGTGAGCAAGTGCACAGATGTCAGGTGTGCTATTTTGCTTTTTTTGTTGATGTCACAACACGAACATACAGAGTCAGTGCATTGGGATGTGGCTGTGCTTTTAGATGAAGGGAATCCTCTGGAGAGGAAAAAAAGGCACTCTGCTCTTTCCACACAGGTTCACTCATTGCCGGTGCCTGCCAGGGTTGAGACAATCTCAGTGTGGTGCTACGAAGTCCCCCAGCTCCTCACGGCTCTGCGTTACCCCCCGTGTGCTACCCTGGTATGTGATGGCTGGCGTTTAGGGCTGCTCCACGCCCGCTGTGAGCTCATACCCGAAGATGCTCGGTTGGAAAGAACCATGCTTGGACTCGCGGCTGCACTCAGTTCTTCCAACCGCAGAACACCTTATCCGAGAGCCAGGCCCTCACGGTGCCTCCAAACGGGCAGCGCCGAGCACGGCCGCGCTCCCCGCCCTGCCACCGGCCTGCCTTACGGCACGGAACTCGAGGGGGCCGGAACCAGCGGGACCGCGCCCGGAGTGGTGGGAAGGAGCGCGACGACGGCACAGGAAGCGGGCCGAGCGGAAGGAGCGCGACAGCGGCGCCGGAAGCGGGGTCTGGAGCCGTTTCCGATTTCCGGCGTAGCCATGAGGACGCGGCGCGGCACTGTCCTGAGACCGCCGCCGGGCATCGCCGACCGCCGCGATGCCGGAGAGGACGACGAGGAGGAAGTGCCCGGCGGAGAGGTGGGCCCCGAGGGCCTGGGAGACGAGGTGGAGGATTTTCACGAGGCGCAGTTTCGGGAGGTGATGGCGGCTCTGGAGAGCGGGGAGGAGGCCGAGGACAGCGAGGAAGAGGAGGAGGAGGAAGTACTGGGGCTGCAGCTGCCGGAGGAGGATGAAGATGAGGAGGAGGAGGACGAGGAGGAAGGTGAACCTGGTGAGGAAGTAGAGGAAGCAAGGGGAGTTGAGTTTTATCTCGACCGCAGTGCGGAGGAGGATGAGGGAGATGAGGAGGAGGAGGAGGAGGAGGAGAATGAAGATGAGGAGGAGAATGAAGATGAGGATGAGGACCTGTCCATGGAGAGTGATTTGGAAGAGCGCAGTAAGGACACTGATCTCCCCCATGAGCTGTCCTGGGGGCGACGCAAACAGCTCTACTACGACACAGACTATGGGAGCGATGCCCAGGCTAAGGGCAAACGTAGCCAGCAAGATGTTGATGCTGAGGAGGAGGAAGAGGAGCAGGAGGCTAAAGTGATCCAAAAGCGGCTGGTGGAGGACTTGGGAGAAGATGATTATGGGCTGGATGTGATCCAGGGCTACCTGACGGAGCAACAGAAAACCCATGATAGCAAGGGGCAGAAAATTGTCAAGGATTTGCAGGCCCTTTCCAAGAAAGAGCAGCTGAAGCTGTTGAAGCAGGAGTCTCCTGAACTCCTGCAGCTGATTGAAGACTTTGAAGTCAAACTGATGGAACTCAAGGATGAGCTGCACCCGCTGTTGCAAATGGTAAAAAATGGCACTATCCCACAGGGGAAAGGCAGTCGCTATTTGCAGACCAAGTATCAGCTCTACTTGAATTACTGTGCCAACATCAGTTTCTACTTGGTTTTAAAGTCAAAAAGAATGCCAGTTCATAGTCATCCCATCATTGAACGATTGGTTGCTTACAGAAATATCATCAATGACCTAGCTGTGATAGATCAAAAGTTATCCTCACAAGTTCGCCTGCTTCTGAAAAACTATTACGATAAGAAGGAGGAAAAACTCCGAGAGCGGAAGAAGTTTCCAGTGCTTCTTCAACCAGCTGCTAAGAAAACCAAACAAAAACGTGAAACTGGTCTTGCTAATGGCCGGCTTGTTGCTGAGGAACTGGCAGATGAATCTGATCTGGATGAAGAGGCTGCGCTAAAATACTATAAGATGATGGAAGAGAAATTGAAACTCAAGAGGAAGAGAACTGAAGAACAGGAAACACTTGAAGAACCAGTGACAGAAGAGGATCCAAACCAGAAGAGAGGTGTGACTTACCAGATGATCAAGAACAAAGGCCTCACCCCCAGGAGGAAGAAGATTGATCGCAACCCCAGGGTCAAGCATAGGGAGAAGTTCAGGCGAGCCAAGATTCGCCGGAAGGGTCAGGTCCGAGAAGTTCGGAGGGAGATACACAGATACGGTGGGGAGCTCTCTGGCATTCGTGCTGGAGTTAAGAAGAGCAGAAAGCTTCAGTGAAACTTATTTCTCTCTGTTTAAGAGAGCTGCAAGTAAGAGTTCTGAATGCAATAAAATTTTTGTAAAAGATACTCTGTTGGTTTTTTTTGTTTTGTTTTTTAATCCTTGAGTGGGAGTTCTCCTTTGAGAGTTTTTTGTGTGCTTGTTTGTTTCTTTTTTAGGAGAATGCTTTTCGGAAGGTGCCATCTCTAGAAGTAGTACAGGGTGTCTTCCTCGTTTTGCCTGCTTGTTAGTGTGTTTTCCTCTATTGGAATGACCTGTGCTGTGAATATGGCTTTGAGAGGCTGCGAGGGTTGTGTCAAGCAAAGGGATGGACGTGAATCAGACAGGACTTGAGGGCAGCAGGAGAGAGATGGAAGGTCCTCCAGAGGGTAGGCTGAGAAAAGAACTTGTGGTGGCCAGAACCAGCGGGACTGTGCCCAGAGTGGTAGGAAGGAGCGTGTGGCTATCACTGCCAGCATCTCCTTACTGTGCTCTAATGGCCCATAGAGCTGAGGTATAGAGCTGTGAGGTTAGATATAAATGGTTATGGTATTTTCTCTTAATTTATGCTCTGATTAACTCGTTCTCATACATGTAAGAATTAACTGTTACACTCTCCTGGATATTCTTTCTTTAGTAATTAAGCAGAGGCTATTGCCTTAAATTGCATATGACCTGAGAAACCATTTCCCCTTCTTGAGAATTCAGTGAGAAGCAAAGTGAGGACTCCTCTGGATTGCGTAATCAATTACTCATCTACCATAACTACATTAGCTTAATCTATGATAAATTTGCTAACTGATGCTTGCTATTACAGATCTAACACAACATTGATACAGGAGAAACAGGTAAGACGTACTTTTATTTTCACCTTATAGTTAGTATGATGTTATTTAGAGAAGCCAAAATATGAGTACGTGAACCCATGACAGGCTAGGTGCTGTATTTAAAATATGCAAGCAGTGCTGAATTTCTGCATACAAAATGCATTTCTATAGGGTTTGATGCAAACCATTCTATCTTAGGCCTTTTCCTGCCTAGGATCATGCTTTCTTGCTGACTGCAGAATGTTTTGTTATTTTTTTTATAGCTGTTAGAGATGAAAAAACATCAGACACTAGAAGCATGGAAATGGAGGTAAGGAGACGTTTTATAGTCTTTGTATATCCTAAATCCGTGGGGTAAGAGCTATGCATGGCAATGTCAGAGAGGATTTCAGTGGGCAAAAGTATGAGGCTCAAGATTGAAAGTTCTGCTGGCTTCACTGGTCCTGTATTTGTTTGCCCTCTGCTGTTCACGGGCCAAACAGCAGTTCAGTACTGCTGAATGATCAAAACCAGACCTGCTCCATTGAAACAGGTCTTTACTGCAGCTCACTGTGAACTGATTCCCCTCCCCATGTAATTGCCCTGGAGGTCTTTGCCTGCCTGCAGAGCTGTGGTGTTTTGTACCACAGGAGGTAATGGAAACTAATGAGGAGTGTTGATTGCAATGGAGAAGTAAACCTTGTCATTTTTGATCAGCACTGAGACTTGTCTGTACTGTTAGCAGGTCTGTGTGTGGGGAGAGGAAGGGTTGAAAGTATGTGCGGGAGAAAGGATTCCTTTCTCATGACCTGAAGTCACAGCAGTGCGTGTTTTAAGATTGAAATTGCCATCTGAAGCCCTGCAGCTGACTTCTCTACAGAAGTTTAGCCACTCAGGTTGGGGTACTTGCTGAATCTTCATTCAGTGAGTGTCACCAATGCAAACATGAGGCTTTCTTGAAGAGGTCACTGAAAATGCCTTTTCATTTGAGCAATGCTCTCGATGACATCATGGCTTTGGGTAAGACGTGTAATGCTTACTCTTTCATACTGTAAGCAGCAATCAACAATGTTAGCTGCCTGCTGTTCCCAGAGAAAATGCATGGCTTTGAGTGGGTAATCATGTTAAATGTGCAAGTCTGCTTCAGTATGAGAAACAAGTCTAAGATGTACCATGGAGGGAAACAAGTGCATTTTCCCAAAGTACATCATTCTATTGACTCTGCACTGGGCTGACAATGGAGGCCACCACTGGCAGTGCTGAGGCTTTGGGAAGAGGTCAGTAAAAGGTAATATGTTAGGGAAAAAACAGCTTTGGTGGTAACAGATGTTATAGGGGATGTGAAAAATGTTCTGTGGAGAAGCTAACCAATCTCATTACTACAGCATCTGTTCATGCACATTTTACACTTTGTGTGAAAAAGAGAAGCTGATGCACTTCCATAAATTGGCAGATAAGCTGCAAGTATCCTTCGTGGCTTTGTATTCCCTTGAAAAGCTTTAGGCATCTGGGAAGCAAAATTCTGGCAACTTCCATCTGAGCAGTAAATAAGGGATATACATTGTGATATTCTTACAGGCTTGCTTTTCCAGAAACACTGGGGTTAAGGCTCAAGGCGAGAGCAGACAGTGCATGTCAGCGTGCCCACTGCAGGCAGCCAGCAGATGGCACAGCGTGTCTCCCAGGGCCACTGCACCAACCCGTTTAAATGAAGATTAAACACGGCATTTTGTTCAGTTGGTTGGCTCAGAGGTTGGACAAAGCCATAAATACTCCTTTTCAGTACGGCTGTGTGTATGAGTAATCACAACTGTGATTATTACCGTGGGAGGGAGAACATCACAATGTTGCTCTCATAAATGCTTTTTAGAGATATGTTTTGTGCTGATGTGAAATCCTTGATGGTGGTTAGGTTTTCAAGACCCCTATAAAAACAGATGCATGTGAAACATGGGAAGGACCGTAGGCGATAGTCAGGAAATAAGAAGTGGAGTGAATTGGTGGTTAAAGCACCATTTTTTTGTTCTTTCATCCAGAGTAAGCCTTTGGAAATTGGAACTGAACAACTACAGCAGCAGAGATGGACAGTGCTTTCTGCGTCACCGTGTGAATTTGCTGTTCACACAGGGTAAGGAAAATGCGTTTAACAACTCAAAAGGAAATACATTTGCTACTGCCTTCATTTTGCTTTTACAGCTGTCTTCCATTGTATGCCATCAGCAAGAGTTTGGACGTGATTTTACTCTGGCTCACAGTGGCAGTATGCATCTCAAAATCAAACGTCCTGTTAAGGCAGCGGGCACACAGTGTATGATGTGGGGCAGCGCTGGAAGGCAGTCCCCAGCAGGCAGATGTCTTCGGGGCTCTGTGGGATCAAAAAAAGGGAAAAGTGACACGTTTCATCTTCACCTCAGCTTCCTGAGTGCGGGCTGCTCTAAGGCGCTGACAGTCTCATTCTTTGCTGCTGCTGCCGCTTGCGGCCCCGCGCTGGGACCTCCTGCTGGAGTGAGAGTCCCCGGGCACAGCCCTACGCCCGTGGCTGTATAAGCGGTAAAGGCAACGTCTGGGCTCGGTGTTGTCACCTCTCGTCAGAGGATCGGGAAACGCCTTTCCCAGTGCAGTCCTGACCCCTGGCAGGCCGGGCGCACGCAGAGCGAAGGGCGCCGGCCCGTTGCACAGATAAGTTCCCGCGAGTGGGAGCCCGCCTTCCCGGGCGCCGCTCACGCGCTAAGTCCCGCCTCCCCCTGTCAGGGCTCGGGCCGGCGAGTGCAGCTCCGCACCTCCGGGGCCGCCACCGCCTCCCCGCCCCTCGCACGCGGAAGGCAGGCGGGGCCGCGCGCCGCCTCCTCTCACGCGGCGGGGCTCGCGGCCGAGGGCGGCGGGGGAAGCCCGCGGCGGGGCCGGCTCCGGCACTCCTTCCCGCCCGGGGCGGGGCCGGGGGTTCGGGGCGGCGATGGCGGAGGCGGAGCGGGCGCCTCTCTTGCCGCCGCCGGCGGAAAGTTCCCGGGATGGGGCCGGGGTGGGAGCCGAGTCGCCTCCCGGCATGGAGCGGCGGGCCGAGCCCGGCCCGGAGGAGGCGGCGGTGACAGAGGAGGAGGACGAGGCGCGCCCCGCCTCGCCGCCCTTCTTCCTCCTCTACCCCGGCCATGGAGGCGCGGCCGCGCCGCACGGCGCGTGGAGACCCCCGGCGCCCCGCGGAGGGGCCGCGCTGCCCGTGCTGCTGCTGAGCTACCCGGGGCCCGACGGCGCCGCGGCCCGTGAGTAGCGGCGGGGCCGTGTGGGGAGGTGCCGCGGAGGGGCCTTTGTGAGGCTGGGGCGGGGTGCCGGGGCTGCCCCGCGGTCTGCGGGCGTGAATTAGCAGTCCTCGGGCTTAGTACCTCGGGCTCCTGCGACGGAGCGTCCTTCCCCAAACTCGCCCGGCCCCCGAGGCTGCGGTCGTGGCCTCGCCGCTCCCTCGTGCGGGCGGCTCAGCGCCGGGACGGGGGGTGCTGGCGGGCGGGTAACGCCGGTCCTTCGGCTCGGCGCCGCCGGCGCTGCGGGAGCCGCAGGTTTCTGTCCCTCTCCCGAGAAGCGTCGTGTGGCCCTTCGAGACCTTGCAGCCCGTTTGTTTTGGAGAGCGTATCTTTGGCTGTGCTGTTCTCTTTTTGAAGCTAATGCACTTTATTTAGCTATTACTCAGCAAAGCTATGACTGCTGAGACCAAAAGTCGATTTTTGTAACAGGGAGCAGCTGAAATGATTTCCCTTTGTTTTTAGTTACAGGAAGAGCCCCTGCTGCCAGCTGCTGCCTGCCCACCCTGCTCGGCTGTCATTCAGGCCGCTAACTTCCTGTCAAAACCTTCCTTTTTACACACTGGTGCTTCCTAATCAGGAAACCTTTCTTTGTTGTAGTTGTGTGATATGTGTGTGAGGAGGGATTGAGCTATTTGAGCTGAAGAGAATCTCTCGTGCTCTTAAAAAATGTATTTCAGCTGCCCAGGGAGGTTGTGAATGCCCCATCCCTGGAGGTGTTCAAGGCCAGGTTGGATGCAGCCCTGGGCAGCCTGGTCTAGAATTGAATGTGGAGATTGGTGGCCCTGCCTGTGGCGGATTGGAGATTCGTGATCCTTGAGGTCCTTTCCAACCCTGGCCATTCTGTGATTCTGTGTTTAGTCTTTATTATGGTACTTGATGCAGTTCAAAAACACTGAATTCTTCTGATTCCTTTGTGGAGGGTCTGTGCAGATGTGTGGAGCTGAGGCACTGAGGTGAGCTTGTTTGCTCAAGATCTCCAGGAGTTAGTGTACAACCTCGCCACTGAGCAGTGCGTCGTCCTTTGTGTTGGTGTTACAGCGCTGGCTGCCTGCATAAGCTTTGGGAAAAGCCCTAGGAAAGATGTATAGAAACTCCCTTGCACTTTTCTGTCTCAGAAGTAATAGCTGCCTGCACCATATCAGATGTTGAAGCCCACTCAGTCATAGCTGTGTCTGAACGGAACAGGAACCACAATTTATTTGCCTGGTGTCATGGACTGTGCTCTGTTTCTTCTGGCACATGTTTTGTCTGCAAGCCAACTTTCTCATTGTGCCTGTTGTTATGTTTTGCTTCTCGTGTCTCTGGAAGAGTGGGCTCTGCTCCTAAGTTCTGCCTATCCACTTGCTGCTTCAGGACTGATGTTAAAGCAGTGGTAGAGCTTGGCTCTGGAGGAGAAAGGAGTTTGTTTTAGTGCTGACTTTGCTTTTGGCTACCTGTAGAGTATGTGGCCTTGCAGATGGTGTCACTCTCAGCACCTTCTCTGAATGGTAGTTCCTCTGTGTAGCTGTGAGATGTGGTGTCAGTAACAGTGGTCTGTGCTATCAGGATTGCTCTGCCTGTGTTGCTGGGGAAGGCCATGACTGGCCTGCAGACCCTGTGCCACAGGCTCTCCTCCAGTGTCATGAATGCACATTGCCATAGCACGTGACTCTCAGTGTTGACTTCTTTTGCTCTTTGTTCTGCAACCAAAGTAGTCAATCATGTCTGCTTCCCTTGATTCTTCAGTGCTCCGGTTATTTTTGGAGTTAAGATAAGCTGAGGAGTGAGAAGAAGGCTATTTTTGCATCTTGTGCCTGGATTAAAGATGTGACGTACTCTGTGAAGACTAATTCCTCTCCACTTAGCTGTAAACTGAAAAGATTTAAGTGAAAGGTGTTTCCTGCTTAGATCATGAGTTCTTCTCTTCGGTGTCATTTCCATAAGTTGCAATAAGAATAATGTCTTTGTATTGATATTTGCCTCTTAAAGCGGGATAGTGACTAACGCAGTGGGGAGGCAATATTGCAGAATATTTTGAAGGTTTATTTGAAGTAGTGTTTATTTGAAGTAGGTTGCAGAAGCTTTTGATGCCAGCAGCACCTGCTTTCTTGATACAGATGGTTCCAATCAGAGAGAGAATAAGAGGAAGACTTATGCTGAGCTGTAGTAAATACTCAGAATACTTCTTAAATGCTGTAAAAGCCACTTGATTATGCTGCCTTCCTTGCTCCCACTCAAAGCCTGCCCAGAGGTATTTGATTTCTTAAATCTCTGTACTTCACAGTAATAAGAGAACAAAGTTTGTCACTTGTTCAGGAAACAGATTCTGATCCCAATTTCCAGTGGTCACAGCTGGCACAGCCACTGAAAGGAAGGTGGGGCAGCTGGTGGTGTGTTGGTGCAGGCTGAAGTCAAAGGGGAGGAGAGAGAGGTTGCATGAGAGCAGAAGTTGTGTTCTTGGATCTGCCAGCAAAAGTTTTGCATATCAAGGAAGAAAATAGAAAGACCAGAATTGTTTCACATAAAAGTGTGGGAGCTGCCTTACTGGACTGGAATGACAAGCTGTCTGATCTTATGCATCAGTCACAAACAGGCTACCTGCTTTACAAAAACATGCACAAACTTGCGTATGATTCATGCTTATCTTATGCTGTGGTATAAAAGCTGGTGTTTCATCATAATTTTTTAATCTTGTGTGCATGGAATTATCTGCTCTTGTACTCTCTCTCAAGATGATGAGCAGCTGCTCAGAGCCCTGTGGTACGTCTGAGCTGCTGCCGTCAGGTAGTTTCCTTTTGACAGTGCTTCCAATTTGTGTAGTGTTGATAGCTTTTTTTCTTTTTTTCCTTTTTTTTTAAATATGGTTCAGTGGTCTCCTGTGATTTTAAATAACCAGAAGTCATGCAGTCATCTGAAGCAGTAATCTCATCTGCCAACGCTGCCGTTTTGCTGTCTGGCTGTTGTGCAGCCCCTGTGCAGCCGTACGGGGGGGGAAGTTCTCTGCTAAGGAACGAAGGTCGGGGTGGTGGCAGGTTGGTTGTGCTGGCACTAGAAGCAGAAGGGCTCAAAGGTGCCCTCAGGAGTCCGAAAGATGGTTTAGGGGATTGGTTTGTCATTGTTTAGACCTTTTTTCATTTTAAAAGCTGAATAAATTGGAAATACTCTCCAGTACAACTGAGATTTGAAACGCTGCTGGATGGTGGAATGGTTTGCTTTCAAACTGTGAAGTGCTAAAATTCAAACATATTTGCCAACTGCTGTGTTTTGTAATCTGGCCAGAGCCTCTATCCTGCTTTGCCAAAGTGTGGTTAGTACTAGATTTTTCTAGGACTGCTCCAAGCATCTGACTTCTTTAAGGTTCAGAAAGAGATCCTTCATTGACTGACCTCCTCTTCCCTTATAACCTGCACTTGACCATTCATTGAACCCAAACCCTCCTACAGCTCCAGCGCTTGGCATCAAGTTGCGAGGAATTCTTTTTCAAAGGCTTTATGAAAGCTACAAGTACATGTTACTGTTGTTTTATAATATTCTTTGTTGCTTTATAACTTTGAGACCCAGGGTAGGGGCAGAGGTTTCATGTCCTGATTGGGGGGGGGGGGGGGGGGGAGGAGGGAAGGGGGAAGACTCTCAGATCAATAGATCACACAGAATAGTTCTTGTGTTGTGGGGTTTTGTTGTTTTGTTTTAGTAAAATCAGTTACAATCAATCAGGTTTTCAGCATCTGCAGAGGTGTTTTGGTGTTGTGCTTCAAGGAAATATAACTTTTATTGAGGTGAGGTAGCTGTTTCTTCTAGTCTAGCAATTGTTCAGTGTGACAGGTGATATATTCTGTCTGTGTTGTGTGAGGCGTGCTCATGAAACAAAATATTTCAGAAGCAATATTTTGATTTACTTTCATAAAATCATGAAGGCTGGGAAAGACCTGTAAGATCATCCGGTCCAACTAATCCCATCCCACTAATGCCCACTGACCACAGCCCTCAGGGCCACATCTCCATGGTTCCTGAACACCCCCAGGGACAGTGACTGCACCTCCTCCCTGGGCAGCCTGTGCCACTGCATTGCTTTAGTTTTCCTTAATTAAAAATCCCTGTGCAGTATTTAGAGCAGGAACGTTGCATAAGGAAAGCCTGAAAACACACCTGGGCTGAAAAGGGCGGAGTGGCTGCTTTTATCTCTTCATGGTCAGAAGAAGCAGATGGCATACAAGGAAACCAGTAAAATAATACCTAAAGAAACTTCTGCTGTGATCATTCTGTGTGGGTCATTTGTCAGTGCTGAAGCCAGTGGAAGACCATTGTTTTGAAGTGGGAGCTGCAGGGTTGCATCCAGTGTTATTTGTAGTTACAATTGACAGTTACATACATCAGTTTACAAAATAGCTCGTGGTAATTTGTTGACTCCTAAGAGTTTATTCTGATGATTTGCTGTTTGTTTGGACTGCTTCAGAAAGCAAGAGCAAAGGGCACAGCGTTCTGTAGCTGTGCAAGACAACTTTCACTGGTTTTTGGACTAGTGAGATGAGAGTGCTGAAACTGGAGCTTGTTGAAAGGACATACAAGTATAAGTATGATATGAGCTAGTGTGTCAGCATGTGATATCCAGCCCATTGCTTCTTAGAGGGAACAGTAGTAACTGTTGTTATCTGTCATGTAATTCTTCTTTCCATCACTGTAATAACATGCTGCATGGCTTTTTCTTTTAGTGTAGTGGGGAGAAAGAGGTGCTGAGTGAGAGTGCCGTGTGCCAAGCAGGAAGTTTTCACTGGAAGTAGCAGCTTTCTCTTGCTTGGTGGAAATAACAGGGAACTTTGTGTTGCTTTTTTTTTTTTTCCCCAGTTTCATTATGAATTTTTGACATACTGAGCGCTTTCTTTAACAAAAAAAAAAAAAAAAAGCTTTGTGAGTTGGCATTTGGATTTCTGCATCGAGGGATTGTTTTTTGTTTCATCTTTACTAGAAATGGATATATGTTTTTTTCTGGCATTTCTTTAGGGAAAAGTATACAATCTGTAATTGAGGTCCTGTGAGCAATCATCCCATTGATGTGCTTTGTTGGTGAACAGTCAGCTTCTGCTCACTTCTTTGGGTGGGTGCTGGGGACGAGCCTCCATTTCGATGGATGCTGCCCACCTACTCTCTGCCATGTACTGGAGCCATACAAGAATAGAACCATCCCATAATTCCCGGGGGCGGAAATCCTGCATCGTGTTGCTGGCTGAATAGTGACTGAGGATAAGAAGGCTCTCAGTGGGCTGGCATGGAGCAGCGCTGCCTTCTGTGCCCCAGAGATGGGATGTGTGGGCTGAGGCATGGAGGAGGTTCATCCGGGTGCATGGGGCAGCCGTTTGGCTCTTGAGACACTGAGAGCCCGTTTCTGTGCCTGCTGGGAGGTGATGCTTCGTCCTGAACTTCACCTGAGCAATACCTGCTTTCAGCTGATGCTTTTGAAGTTCTAAGATTGTTGTGTACCTCTGTATGTTTGTGTTGTTCCTCGTTGTTCTCCGGTTGTGCGTGTGCCCTTCTCAAACATCTTAATCCTACCTTATTGAAGTGCTTAGCTGTAGAGCTCTTTTTTTTTTCTCGTCGTTTCCCGAGCCGATAAATCCGTCCTAAAATTTCTCTATGCATGGGAAATCTGAGCTCAAAGGTACCACATGAGGGGGTTGCACAACAAAAATAGAATGGAACTGCGCACCTGCTGTGAAAACAAAGGTACTTACTTCACTCGTGCAGCGGCATCCAGCGCATGAGAGGAATACAGATGTCTCTTTGTATTCCTTGCACTGCTCTTTGTAGTACAGGGGCGGCTGATGAGAAATCCGTGCTGTGCTGCTCAGAAATTGCCCAGCAGAGCCTGATGAGAAGCTGCTGGGGATGATGAGACCTAATTGCCGTCCCTGCATCAGCAGCGCCTATGAAGCATCCTGGGAATTGCTCGCCCCACGCTCAGAGCAGCTGGTCACATGAGCTTGAATTTTCAGTTCAGTTCATTAGTCAGCCATTTTGGTCAACACCCTGCTTACTGCGCACAACCAATCCTAGCAGCACTCGCTGCCCTGCCTGAGCTGGCAAGAAAGGCACCAGCAGCTTCATTTCAGCTAACCTGGAGATCTTTTTCTACGTTCTTCCTTTGTTTTTGCTTGGGTAGCCATCAGAGGAAGCCCTTTTTTTTCTTCCTCCTGCATTTTTTTTTCTTTTAATATTTTTTTTAATCTTTTTTTTTTTTCCATCTTTGATGCAGAAGCCAGGTTTCCTGTGGTTGCTTAGGATCAATAGCCTTTAGCGTTATCTGAAGACAACGACAGCTGACGAAGAGGAGGGAGGAACAGACGAGCGTGAAGGAGCAGCATTTTTACCTTGCTTTATATATGAAAAGGCCAAAGCAGTCTGTGCGATCCTGAGCATATCTGACCTATAATAGCAAGGTATTTCTTGTTTTCTTCTTCCGAAAGCCCTTCTTCTTAGTTCTTTTTTCCCTGTTGTTGTCGTACCAGCTGAGTCATCATGTCTGCTCTGACGCCTCAAAGCGACATGCCAACCCCCACCACCGACAAGATCACTCAGGCTGCCATGGAGACCATCTATCTTTGCAAATTCCGAGTGTCCATGGACGGAGAATGGCTCTGCTTGCGCGAGCTGGATGACATCTCGCTGACCCCCGACCCAGAGCCTACCCATGAAGGTACGGTCCAGTTTGCTGCCTCGGGATCCCTGCAGCCGTCGCATTGTTACCGCTGCTGCAAGAGTTGGGAGGGGGTGTCTCCAGGATGAGATGCTCTTGTCCAGCCTGCAGTACCTGGAAATGGTGTGATGTACCAGAAAGCCAACTCAGTGCTTCTCACTGCTCTTGTTTTTTGTAATCCGCCCTTTTAACAGAGACGGATCTGTGCTTTTTTATTTTTATTATTTTTTTTTTAAATGTATCAGGAAAGATTGGGTTTGTGTCTCAGGAAGGAATGTGCTGTGATGTGTATTCCACAAAGCATACTGGTAGCATGCTGACTTCTGTCTGCATACGGTCAGTGGGTAATTTTTGGAAAGCCCCAGGTGATTACACAGCTGTGCTTATTGTCAAGTGATAATGCTACCATGAGTCTTGCCCCTTGCTTCTGTTGAGCATGCTGCTGTTTATTATAGCTCAGGAGCCTGGAATGTGGAGGTATAAGACATCTTGCTTTTTATTGAGAATAGCTTTGTAATCTGGGCTGATGGTGAAAGCAATTTAATACCGGGTCACGTGAAGTGAGAACTGAAAGCTTTGTGAGACAGAAATGGAGAAGACAGCCACACACTGCATCTCCTCCTTGCCCTTGGTAGGGCAGAGTTTCTGCAGAAATTGATTGTAAGATGGTCTTGTGCTTTCAGAGTTACTTAGCATCAATACTGCTGGGTTCTGAGTGACACTTGGGGGACGCTGAGCATCTTTCAGTCCTGCAGTGAGGGAATTCCATCTTTGCACTCTAGGCTGCTTTCTTTTAATAGTTAAGTATGATTCCACCACCAAGCCTTGCTTGGCCCATTTGATGGGGTTTGTCAAATCAGTAACATCTTTCTCTACTGTTGTCTTGTGGATTCAGCAGTTTAAATTGTTCTGTGAATTTGGGCTTTAAACTTAACTGAGCAGCGGCAGCTGTTGGGTTTGGATTTGCTTGCCAAATGGGGGATTAGAGAGGGATTTCAAAAGCAGAGGCTGACATTCCCTCTGAAGCACATCCCAGCATTTCGGTGAGGTGCTGTGGGCTCAGGGTGCAGCAATACAACTGACTTGCAGTTTCCACGTTCTTGTATGTGGCATGGACTTAGGCAGTCTTCTGTGGTATTAGACTTCATTTTGTTTTGTTTTAACAGAGTCTTCTAGTTTTGATAGATTGATCTTTGTTCTCTCTGTCTCCTTCTTCCTCCATCTTTCTGATAAACACTAGCCTCCCTTATGATTTGTCACTCTGGGGTTAGTAAATGACCTGAGCAGTCTAGGGCACTCTGGAAAACCTCTCTGTCACACTGCAGAAGTCTGTTAGTTAGGTCCTTGTTCCATGTGAGTCTCTTTCTCTCTCCTTTCCTCCTTACTTTAGTCAAGCTCAAGGCAGGATAGGCTTAGATGATTCCACCTACCCCTGTGCACAGCCTTAAGCTTTTCTGGATTACCTTTCCCAAATATATTGAAAATGTGTCTCTATAGCATACAAAGTGCACTCTTGTAGGCAATGAAAGCACTAATATTGGACTAAAGCTTCCCAAAGTACAAAAATAATTGTTTTAAATGCTCTTATTATAGGCAGTCTCTTGCAGGTACCAGAAGGGTTTGGTTGGAAAACAATATTTGCTTATTTCACTGCAATATTGATTCTAATGTCAAAAAAGAATAAAAAGAGAGATGTATGAAAATGACGTTTATGGAGATATTTAAGCATTTATAATGTAATGTTGCTTGTTGGAAGGGAGAAAGACTTGATCCAAATTATGTTATTAACAGAGACGATAAGAAGTGTTCATAATGGGAAAGCTGACACAGCTTTATCCCTAGCATTGGAGCTGCTGTTACTGCATCAGCACTGCTCCTGTGTCCTCTGTGCGCTGGGATGAGGGGACAGGAAGACAGCTTGCAGATGTTGGGTGCTCCTCTGAGAGGGAAAGCAGGGAGTCAGGGCTTGTTCTGTAGCTTCCCTGTAATTCTGATGTAGGAAGGTAGGAACTGAAGTAGAAAAAAAAAAAAAGCCTAGGAGTTCTGCCAAATGCGTAACGAGAAATTGTATATTTTTTCTTACAAATCAAGACATAAAATCGGGATGTAGTTCAGTCACGTATCTGAAAGATGGATTTTACCCCTGTTGCTGTCCTTCAGCTCTTGCTGCTTCCCAGAAGGTTTTGCCTTTGGGCTCTCTCCACTGATTTGCTGTGCCCCCTTGCCATCCTGCTTTCCTCCTCCTCCTCCTCCTCGCTGTCTGTACTCCTGCTGGGCTGCTCTCATGTGACATGTGGTGATGACTCAGTCAGTGAATGAGGTGGGAGACCTGGGGACTGTGGCTTCTCCTCCTGGCTTCCCAGTTTTTTTAGCTGTACATCTTGCAGGCCTGACACCTTCCTGCTTTGCTTCACGTGGTCGGCTGCAGTGTGATGCTCTGCTTCTTGTTTTTAAAGATGCTCTTTTGTTGTTGTGGTTCTACCACAGTCAGTGCAAAACAAGTGAAGTAACTGAAAAAACTGGATTGCTGCTAAACAAAAAGCTGCAGTAATTTGTTTATTTTTCTTTCTAGTGAAAGCAGATTGTAAACAGGGATTAGTTTTATTGCTGTTGCTTTTCTTTTTTTTTCTTATTGACAGTTCAAGCAGGTTACTTAGGAAACGTGGTTTAAATCTGAAAGAGGAAGTTAAAGGAAGTGATTCTTGCTTAGCCTGGTTTTATATCCCTCATCAAAACCCCATGTTTTAGTTCCAGTGAGAAAGAGGCTTCAGATGATATCTCAGCAGTGCCAGCTCACGGCAATGCAATGCCTTGGGGAGCTGGAGGCCAGTGCTGTACTCTCTGCTTTTGCTCCAATGGCTCCCCAAGCAGAGGCAGCTGGTGCTTGCTGTTCTCAGGGCTGACCTTGTTGCTCTTAAACAACAGTTCTGAATTAGGAACTCTGAAGTGTACTGTGCTGTGCAGGCATCACAAGGTGGCGAAATGCGGCACAATTGGCTTTTGTACTCTTGTTTGTTTGTAACAGATGTAGTGGTTGTTGAGGCACCCTTAGAGACTGGGCTGGGAAAAAGTGCCTGCACAGACAAGATTGAACACTGATGGGAACTTTTAGGGAAGGTGCCAAATGGACCTGTACAGTTCTTACTGTTTGGTAGATTTCTATTTTGAATAAGCATTCTTCATGAGGAGCTTCATGCTAGAGCAATGAAATCTTAATCCTCACCAGATCAACTTCTAGTTGAGAGCAGAAAGAATGTGATAGCTGTGCGATCTGAAATTGTGTGCTATCAAGCCTTGCAGTATCACTTAAACAGAACCGTAAAACCGACATCTGCTTGCAGCTACTTTTTCATCCTTCTTGCATGTTTCAAAATGGTTTAAAGCAGCAGCAAGATCTCATTAGTTATGTTTTTGTTTTGCAAATAAGTAGCTTCTTAGTGCTAAAGTTTGCATGCTGTGGGCTGTGAGAATCGCCTTATTTCAGACTGGGGAGCTGCAGTACTCTTTAGTTTGGTCCAAATTGTGTGACACTCGCAGCCCAGCCTGGTACGAGCCCTCAAGTGTGGGGACTGAGGTCCTGCTATAAAACTGCACAGAGCAAAATACACCTAGGAGGAAACTCTGGCAACTGTTTTGTTGTACCTTTTTTTCCTAGTGGTGTGGAATAGAAGCAGACTGCTGGGAGAGGTGGGAATGGCTTTAGGAGTTGTATCTTTTACATTATAAAACAAATCTCGTGTACGCACCCTGCTGAGGGTAGCAAAGACCTTTTGCACTTTCAAAGAAACCGCATGAGTTTGGTTTTTTTTTATTGTAAGAAAAGTACCTCTTCTGGTGGCAGAAACCCCTAAGCAGGGCAAAAGTTTGAGGAGGCTTAAAGAAGTGCATGGATTGCCAGATACTCCTAGGTCGTATAGCCTCCTTATAGGCATGAGCTAGAGACTTGATTTAATACAACAAATGTAAGGTTGGTTATGTGTAAGGTGTGTGAATTACGGTCTGTTAAGAATCACAGTCTTTTGAATAGTAGTTAGGCCATGTAATCCAGGCAGCACATAGTCTTTATTGCATTGCTTTTCACTGTCATCCTCCTGTAGAACAGGAAGGAGATGTCCTTGCTGCATTTGTGCTGAATCCCATCACAAGCCAGGAGCTGTTGAAGGAATGGCAGGACAGAGGAAACAGGACTCCAAACCAAAGGAAGATTAAGTTTTAAAGCTCTTTATGGCAATCAGTACTATATGCCAGTCCTCAAATGAATTGAAAAATGAATGCCCTGTAAGGTATAAGGACGAGGGTGACGTCAGCTCTAGTTCCGTTTTGATTTAAAGTTTAAACCTTTTGTAATTCTTTTCCATGTTATAATTGGCAAATAGCATTCTAGAATTGTTTGCTTTTCTAAGCTTGCTCAGCCTAAATAAAGTGCAATGAGCTTGGGAAATATGGAGAAAGCTTCTTTCCCTGAGAAATAATTGGAAGCTGCAGAGAAACATTTTGGGTGCCAACCAAGATGCAAAATGAAAAATTGAAGAAAAAAAGTGTTTTCTTTTTCTTTTTCAGTGTGCATGTGTTCAAAATAAAATAGGCAATTTCCCATTGCAGTTGTTCATGAATTTCTGCTTCGAACAAGACTGACTGTGGAGAAACAGTAAATGATCTCAGTTATGTGCATGCAATTGCAAGGTACATTCCTTGTTTGTTGCAGATAACGAACATACGTACAGAAGTACCTGGTTTGTTGCAGATCCTTGACTGTTCTTTGTGTTAGCACAGTGCAACCCTTTACATGTGTTAAAATGCTTCTGGCATGGGATTGAAGTAAAGTTTTAGGCTATGACTTCATACTTCAAATGAGCAGCACTTTGTAAAGTCAGTGATGGCAACACCCTTTAAAAGAAAATCATAACAGTGCTGTTTTTTTTCACTATAAAATATTGAAGTCAGTTGTTGCAATTGGTGATGGAAGCACAAGCTGTTGGTGCTGTAAGGTGAGGTAAAGA